CGAGGAGCATCTCGGTGCTCCTGCCCCTGGCGTGCCCGGAGCCGCCGGCGAGCTCCGGCTCAGCCGTGCAGCAGTGGCCAGGTCTGAGCCTCCCCCGAGGCGTGAGCGCAGCCCAGTGCACCGGGACTCCATGGCTGTCCTATTGTGGAACCCGGTGGTCGTTTTTTGGTTTGTTTTTTTTTAAAAAAAAAAAACCTTAATTTTATTTTGGTTATTATTTTTCATAACACTTCATATACCAGTGACTTGTAACCGAGAAAGGATTTGCATCGGGAGGAAATCTATTTATGCACTGGGGAGGGTGGGAAGGGAGGCATTTGTTTTCTGGGTTTTTTTGCTAGTGTTAGAGAAATAAAAGTATCTAAGAAACACAAAGGTGTCAGTGTCTTTTGTCTAGAGGTGACCTCAGATAACACTTTAATATTAGACCAAAGAGGCAGTGGACGAATGGCTACAGCATTTCAACCGTTCAGGAAGGGTCTCACCTTGCCCATAGCTCACTCCAGGGCTGGCGGCACCTTCTCCTCCCTCTCCCTGTTTTGGGGGGTCATTTTCCCAGTGGAGTTCATTTTAGCTGTAGCTGCTCAACAGCCAGCCCTCTTGGAGGAATAAAAAAACGCATTTGTACCTGGCGAGTTTGTATAAAGCCAAAGAATAAAAGCGGCTCGTTTGTAAATGTGTGGAGCTGGTCCCTGCGGGCTTTCCCGAGGGACATGGGTGTAGAGGTCCCTGTGGGGTGGCTCGGGGGTGGCACGTGCCACACGGGGACCCTGCATCGGCCGCAGGCAGCAGGTCTGGCCAAGCCATCGGCCCTGCACCGGGCAGCAAACCCCAGGGGCCGGGGCTTGCGCAGGGCTGGGGCACGGCGGGTGCCAAAGCTCCCCTCTCCCACGGGGCAGCCTGGCTGTGAGCTGGGACCATCCCTGCCCCACACGATGCACCGGCAACGATGCTGTGGGGAGCTGTGCACACAGCACCCAGTGCTGCATGGGGCTCCCTCCCAGCCAGGGGCTCACGGTGCCCCGGGTACCACTCAGACACACCAAGGGACACCACAGCCGCGTGCATCCCCTTATTTTTGGGGGTTGCTCCAAGCCATCCCTTCCCAGGGAGGATTTGCATGCTTGGGCAGGGAGGGCAGGACCAGGCAGGGACCCGCGGCCCCCAGCCCCTCTATATGTCACCC